ATTAGTCCTATTTTTATTACTATTTAAAAATAGTGATCCCTATATATATCTATAGGAACAGATAAGGTGCACAGTTAAGAAATCATTGTTAAAAGGATGGGATGTACTTCAAAAGTTTGAAATTGTGAGATATTTGATTATGGAATTCTATGTTCGAAGCTTTATTACTTTTACGAAAGTCAATGTATTCAAGCAACCAAAAAGGTGAATTTTCATTCACCTTTTATAAATATTTCGGACAAGAGATATTTATATGTCACATAGGCGCATATATGGATTAGCCTAGATGAAACAGATGACAGCTAATGTTGTCTAACTAATTAATTGAAATCTTTCAGAGAAGCCGAAAAAAAATCGCATTCATCGTTTTTAAGAATGTTAATGCTCGAAACCTTCACACTGACAATCTACTGCTTATTTGACCCATTAGACTGGATAATTTAAAACTTCTTTATTAAATACAAGAAGAAATCTAAATTAATCATTTTTTTTTCATCGTTACTGATTAAAATGTCAGAAATACCTTTTTTTTATCTAATATCAAAAGTGGTAATTGAAAAGGATTGATAAAAATTTATGATAGAAATAATCCAATGAAATTTTCAAAATTATATTAATATTAGGAAATGAAAATAATGAACGAACGGTTCTGAACGATTTTCGTTTGAATATTACAATTAAAATGATTTGGCTATCATTTACTGTTCGAAGACGTAGGACATGTAGCAGCCGGTGCCTCAATCCGTTTGTGACATACGATAAGAACATTAGTGTCCGGTATTTGACTACCATAAGTTATGACATTCTGTAATTGCAATAATTGATCCATCCTTTTCCGCCTCTAAAACCATAGTATGATACTGTACGACTGTTCAAAAAAGCAAAAAAAAGTTTTTTTTCCTTTTGCAAACTGATAACAAAGATTGTCTTACTTCACTTCCGGTCATAACCGTTAATAAAAATATCAAATTTATCAATTGATTTAGTCGAAGCAAGATAAAGCGAATTTATCAAAGCTTTCAAAATAAGTTACTAATCAGGTAGTTTATTATAAACATTAGTATTTGGTGATGATATAATTATATGTTAGAAAAAGCAAAATTGTTTGCTTTCTTGAAGAAACAGGGAAGTGAGAGAGTAAGGGAAACAAAAAAGATTCCATAATAATTATTTTAAATAATTTTCAATTATTATTATATGAATGTCAACTATTTATTGCATTTAACTTATATTTCATTAAGACATACAAATAATCATTGATAAAAATCCGTGAATTTGTGAGCATTTCAAAAGTTTTTTCTCGTTTAATATAAAAAAAAAAGAAAATTTATAATATAATGAAAGGAAAAAATTTTAATGATAACGAATTAAAATTAAGCATGAGAAACCTCTCCTTCTCTCCTAATTAACATCTTCACTATGAACATTTCGTAATGTAATAAAATAATAATTGATTTGAAAAAAGGATAACAATGACATATGGGAAGAAAGTCTATCATTACTACATATTTTCCTATATCAACATTTTCTCTTGCTAATTAGTGTAAAAATTGTCAATTATAGCATGAATGGGAAAGAAAATCGAAAAGAATGTCATCATCGTCGTCATCAGTGTCATTGTCATTATTCTTGTCGTCGTAATACTTTAAATATGGGTAGCAAAAATGATATAAAATGTTAATATGTGAAAAAAAACTTTGTCAGAATGGTAATTTCTTTTTTTTTTTGAAAGGAAAGAAATTGAAAGTAAACTTTTTTGTTGAATTTTTCCTCAAAAAGACAGGAAAAAAAGGAAAGAAAAGAAAAAAGAGAAAGAATAACAATACCGCTTAGTTATGCTTCCTTCCTTTTCAACAAATAATTCAAATATTTGATCATTACAAGGAGGCGGGAAGGAAAGAGGGAAAAAGAATTTATGAATTCTTTTCCGATCAAAACAACATCTTTTGTATGTTTGGAAGCTTTAATATACAACAATGTTCATTTTAACTAAATCAAATAAATACAACAAGGATTGTTTACTTTTACCTAATAGTTATTCCATTTCGAGATATGAGTAAATATAAAAGTTATGAGTGTATATGGGTGAAATAAGAATAATAATTAGTAATAGTTTCATCCATTTTTGATATCAATTCATATGACATTTCTCAGTTCGAATGTCAACTTTGCTATTTGTTCATCAGTTGCTCTTTTCATCGATAACTTGCCCACAAATCAACTTTACAATTCAGCTCAATCTTATCTAAAATAATAATCATTTATGAATGATGCAAAGTATTTCGTTTTTCAATTAGCAAGAATTATTTATTCTTGAATTCAATGAATCTAAAAAAGGGTAAAATTAACGGAACAAAAACATTATCAATGAAGGATTTAAGCCTAAAAAAGGAAGGAAAAAACTACTATTAGTAACTTTCGGGAAGAATTCGATCTCAAGAGTCAAAGAACAAATAGATCGATCGCCAATATTTATAAATAATTACGGCATCCGGAGATTTTTATTCTAAAACAACTGTTCTGAGAGGAAAGATCTAACTAGATTAATTTATCTGGATGCTTTGCTGTCTTATGCTAGAGGAAGCCAGTATATCCACAAATTTGTTGGTCAACAGAAGTGACCTTGGCTATGACAAAATAAATGATCGCTTCACCATTAACGTGATAATTTATATCATCGATGAAGGATAGGGAACTGTTCACGTAGCGGTTATTTAAATATCCTCGAATAATGTTTTGAAATTATCATGGTAAGACTACTACCGCTACAGTTCACAATGAAATGATAAAGTTCATTATGTTAACATTAAATAATGTAAGAAAAATTGGGTGGTCATGCAATTAATGCCAAAAAAACTTTCCCAAAAATTCTAATCACCTCATCAAGCAATTCAATTCAAAAACTTTCTCAATGCTTATCATCAATTTAGTACTCTATCAGGCATCATCCTCTCTTATATAACCAATCTGGACATCTGGTGTCCCTTCCGCATGTTTCTTCTGCTCGCGGAACCACGGGAGAAACCTGTCCCTTTTCCCCTCCACCGTTCTTAAATCAAAACTCTGTGATGTTAAAGTTCGTTGATCTTTCATCATAAGTTCATTATGTTAACATTAAATAATGATGTAATTAGACTCTTCACATCCTCAATGAATCCATTACAATATCTCATTTACTGTTTTTTTATGAAGGGATAGTACATATAAACGTATACGGATACGGTATTGGGTAAAACTGAGTTGAGTACCGGATACGATATTGAATAGAACTGAGTTAAGTATATTAGTCCAGCCCTCAAAACCATTCCCATTTCTCATGTGGAAAAATTGAAAAAAATTA